GAAAATTTTATGGTGGTAAAAACCTGTATTTAAAAATAAGAAAAGTGTTAAGTCAATGACCTCAGTTTTCATCTTAAAAAAAAAAAAACTTTAAAAAAAACTCAAAAGGTGAAAATATTAAATGTAAAGTAATCAAGAAAGGAAATAATAAAGATTGGAAGAGAAATCATTGTTGCAGACAGAAAAACAATAGTGAAAATCAAAGAAACCCAAAGCTGTTTCTGAGAAGGAGCAATAAAATTTATCAACATCTAGTCATACCAATCATAAAAGAAAAAAAAAAAGGCACCGGCTACTAATATCAGGAATGAGAGAGATGGTATCACTACAGGTTTCATAGCTATTAAAAGAAAAATTAGAAACTGTAAACCACTTTACACCACTACATTTTATGACTAGAAAATGAACAAATTCCTTGTAAATCACCAGCTATCAAAGCTAACTCAAGAAGAAATATGTAATTTGAAAGGTTCACTATCTATTAATGAAATTAGTGTTGTAATATAAAGCCACTCCAGTCTCAGATGGCTTCACCAAACATTAAAGGATGAAATAATACCAATTATACAATATCTGTTCCAGAAAATTGCAAAGGCAGGTATGTTTCTCAGTTCATTCTTTGAGACCAGAATAATCTAAAACCAAAATGAGACAAAGCTATTACATAGTAAGAAGAGTACAAACTAATGTCTTTCATGAACAGAGATGAGCGATTTTAAAAATATTTTAACAAATTACATCCGATACTAGGCAAAATGTGAACTACATCACCAAGTAATGCAAAATTGTTTCAACATTCAAAAATTAATCCCAATATTAAAAAATATGACCACCTAAAAGATACAAAAAAAGCATTTGACAGAATCCAACATCTATTTCTGCTACAAACACAACAAACTAGGAATAAAAGAAACCCTCTTCAGCTGTTAAAGGACACCTATGAAAAGCCTATAGCTAATATCACGTTTTCTGGTGGGAGCCTTCGTGCTTTCCTCTAAGATCAAGAACAGGACAAGGATGTCTGTTTTCACTACTTCTAATCAAGTCAGCACATTAAGGCACAGGGGAAAAAAAAGGTTATCTAAATGGGAAAGAAAGAAGAAAATTTGTCTTTATTAGCAGACATGGAACTAGAAACAGCTATTAGAACTAAGTTATTTTAGCAAGTTTGCAAGATACAACACTGAGATACAAAAGAAGCAAACAAACAACAACCACAAAAAACCCTGTATTATATTTCTGTATAGTAGGGACAAATAATCAGAAATTGAAATTAAAAAGAAATACCATTTAAAATAGCACAAAATAGGATAAGTTGGGGATAAATCTGACCAAAATTGTGTCAGACTTGTATGCTAAAAACCACAAAAATGATGTTGAGATAAATTAATAAAAACCCCGAAAGTTGAGAAACATGCTTTGTTCATGGGTTGGAAGACTCAATCTGTCTATTCTCTCCAAACTGGTGTCTAGAGTTCACACAATTCTAATTAAAATTGCAGTAGACTTTTGCACAAGTGAACAAGCAAATTATAAAATTCACAGGGAAAGATAGAGGACTGAAAGCAAATAAAACAACTTTGAAAAATAAAGTTGGAAGACTTATGTCACTTAAGTGTGTTCAAAACTTAGTTAAGCCACAGTAATTCAGACAATGTGGAATTGACATCAAGATAGACAGATCAATGGAAACTAACAGAATCCATAAATAGAGCCACAACTCCATGATCAACCGATTTTTGACAAAGGTGCAAAGGCAATTCAGTGAAAGATGACTAGCATTTTCCTCACATGCAAAACATGTACTCAAAATTGATCATAGGCCAAAAAGGAAAATCAAATCCTGTAACACTTCTAGAAGAAACATGTGACCTCAGGTTAGGCAAAGCATTCCTTCAATATTACAGCAAACGCATTAAGCATAAACAAAGAAACAAAATGATAAAATGGACTTCATCAAAATTAAGAACTTCTGCTTTTTAAAGGTACTGTTATAAAAATGAAAACTGAAGCCATGAGCTGGGAGAAAAATGTCTGCAAATCACATATATGATAAAAGATTTGGAAATCATAACATGAGATTTCTCAAAATGCAGTTAGAAAACCAAAGGCCAGGTGCGGTGGCTCGTGCCTGTAATCCCAGCACTTTGGGAGGCTGAGGCAGGCAGATCACCTGAGGTCAGGAGTTCAAAACCAGCCTGGCCAACATGGTGAAACCCTGTCTCTACTAAAAACACAAAAATTAACTGGGTTTGGTGGCAGGTGCCTGTACTCCCAGCTATTTGGGAGGCTGAGGTATGAGAATTGCTTGAACCCAAGAGGCGGAGGTTGCAGTGAGCCAAAATTGTGCCGCTGCACTCCAGCCTGGGTGACAGAGGGAGACGCTGTCTCAAAAAAAAAAAAAGAAAGAAAGAAAAGAAAAGAAAAGAAAGCAAGAAGCAATAAAATATCAATGAGACATTTCATCATTTCATCAAAGAAAATATATGAATGGCAAATAAACACATTTTTTAAAATGTTGAACATAATTAGGCATTAGGGAAATGCCAGTGCACACTGAAAATAACAACACTGGGAGTACCAAATATTGGTGAGGAGGCAGAACAAATAGAACTTTCCTAGGCTCTACTGGGAATGTGAAATAATACAACCACTTTGGGAAGGCAATTTGGCAGATCCTTAAAAAGTTAAACTTACACTTTCCATACGACCCAGCCATTCTACTTCTATATATCTATATATAAAAGAAATGAAGACATATGTCCATACAAAGATGTATACCTAAATGTTCATAAAAACTTGATTTTCAATAGCCAAAATTTTGGTAACAACCTAAGTGTTCATCAACAGGTAAATGGATAAACAAATCATGGTTTACCTATACAAAGAAATGGTACTTACCAATAAAAGGAATGAACTATTGATATACACAACAACATCTCAAAATAATTGTACTGTTAGGAGTCGTAAACAAAGCATAGATTATTTGTGGTTCTGTGTATGTAAATTTCTTTTAAAATGCAAATTATAGTGACAGAAAGAAGAGAAAGAGGGAAATTACAAAGATTCAAGAAGGAATTTGGGAGCGTGACAGATGGGTTCATTATCTTGAATATAGCGATGGTTTGTTTCATGGAAAATGTGTCAGAACTTACTGTATAGGTTAAACATGTGAAATGTATTCTGTGTCGATTGTATGGCAATAAAAGTATGAATTATTTTTCAAATTAGAGGTGGAAGTGGGAACAAAACTCATAGATGTATACCTTTCAGTCCTGTGGATTAATTTTTGCCCAAACCTGCTTTGGAAAACATGATCTATGGAATCAATGTGGCCTAACACAATATATTCTAGCTTGGTCAAATTTAAGTAAGAGTTGTAAACATGAATGGTTCATGTAACTGCTAACTGTCAATCAAAAACAGAGTCAGGAGTAACCACTGTTTAGTCCAACTCATTAAAAAAATAATTAGGTAGGCAGCAACTAGTGGTGGTATAAATGGTGACATGAGTGAGAGTATAAATCAGTGTAACTTTCTAGGGACCAATTTGGAAGAAGTCTCAAAATGTGCTCAACTTTTATCTCGACAGTACTATTCTTAGGAATTTTAAAAAATATATTTAGGATGTGAAAAATATTTAGTATAACCAAAATAGTGTAATATATATTTATTATTCTTTTTAGAGGGAGTCTCGCTCTGCCGCCAGGCTGGAGTGTAGTGGCAGGATCTCGGCTCACTGCAATCTCTGCCTCCCAGGATCAAGCGATTCCCCTGCTTCAGCCTCCTGAATAGCTGGAATTACAGGCGTGCATCACCACACCCAGCTACTGTTTTGTATTTTAGTAGAGATGGGGTTTCACCATGTTGGGCCAGGATGGTCTCAATCTCCTGACCTTGTAATCCACTCACCTCAGCCTCCCAAACTGCTAGGATTACAGATGTGAACCACTGCACCTGGCCTGTATTTATTATTGATAATCATTTATATTTATTATAAATATTAATAAATAATCCATTATTTATTAATAGAAATAATTTAATTACTCAAAATTGAGTCTAAAATTAGATTCAATTCTAGAAATACAGCCATACAGTGGAATACTATGCACATCAAATTGATGACCTGGAAAGATCTTAAGGGAGGTTTTTCATAAGTAAGGGGAGAAATAAGCTACTGAAGGATATGATTAGCTTGCACTAAAATGCTTATAAATTTTTATTTGCACACATATAATAGGGAATGATGTATATTGCCATTAGCAGTGATTGCTGTGTGTTGGAATTGTGGGTGACTTAAACTTTTTTGGACACTGCTGTAGTTTCCAAATTGCTGCCACGACACATTTTATTTTTAGTCAGAAAAAAGTTAATGCACAGATATTCTTTTTTAAATAAAGGTCTGAGCTGTGTATGAGTATATATGATTGGTTAGAGGACTCAGTGGTGTGGTGTGTAAGTTCCTTTGGTATTTTGTGTGTTTAAGAGGGAAAAGGAATGGAAAAAATAGCACAGCAGGTTTCAGAGATTTGTCTCCTAGCTCAGTCCTGAAGCACAATGCTGAATCCCTGAACTTGTATCTGAAACTTGTGATGGAAGGAAGCTGTTTTCATTAGGGACTGTGTGAGACAGGGGACATGCAGGGCTGTCTGTGGACAGCTGCACATGAGACACAGGGAGGCTGCAGCTTCACTCTGTAGGGTTTGCCCTTGGCTTTGTGTGCAGCGTTGCCTGGACACTGGCATCCCTGTTGAGGCTGGCGGTGCTGGTGGGCAGAGCTGGGCAGATGGAAGCACACAGAGGGCTGGCTCCTGGAGCCTTGAGATGCTCCTTAAGATCACCTGAAGCAATAGGCACAGACTTAGGTGAAGGCAGAGGCAACGGCAGGCACCCCAACACTCCACAACCAGCATAGCCTTTACAGCCCCAAATGTCGTGCATATGAGGCCTCAGTTATTCTCAGTGGCCCTGGAACCTTCAGCAAAGACATTCACACACTATCCGGGTATGCATGCTTTATTTTGGCATTGAAGTCACTGCACCAAATGGGTCACATGGAATGTTAATTAAGGCAACGTAGGCAGAAGGCAACTGTACAGCAATTGCTCCTCTTTAAGGAGAAGAGAACCTGCCGCAGAACAAGATGCAGTTGGTTTTGTGGTGCCTGATGAAGAAAAGGAAAGGGTGGTCTGCACAGAATCTTGGCTCTATTCTGCTGCACCTGGAATTCCTGACCACAGCCGTGGCTGCAGCAGCCTCTGTGCCTTCCTCGTTGACCTCCACAAAGCACTTGTGGGCAACCTTAGACACAGGCACATTTTTCTTAGTTGACATTCCAGAAAAGTCTGCCTTGGCTTCATCAAAAGCATCGATCATGCCTAACCTTCGAAGGAAAGGCTCCAAGTCATAGCTCTCCTCCAGCTTTAATCTGGGAAGGAAAACTTGAACCTTACTTTTTGTCAACTTTTCTGGATTTGTCCAAGCTTTGAATTTCTCATATGTAAGTGTTTTCTCCACCTAGAATAAGAAAGAGTCAAACCTTAAATTTAGATGACAATAGCCTGGTACCCACAGGTTCACTTATTACCCCTCCCCCAATGACATGCAACTAGATGGTAGGTTCTGGTCCAAGAAAATCTACAGATATTTTCTTTTATAAGCACACCAAGATTTTCTCCTAAACTCTCGTATTCTCCAGGTCTTACGGAGACAAAAGTAAAAGAGCTGGTAAACACCTGAGACAGGCAGAAATTTTTAACAAAAACAATTTGTACCTAACTCCTTTCAAATGTTAAAAGAATATTTTTTAACAGTTTAGAACATTCTAACCAAATCATTACACTAATTTTCATGCAGTATACATTACTATGAGTGGGAGAGACTGACAAAAGACAAAAAGCTTGTCTTAGAACTCTACTTCCGAGTCTAAGGGGGGGCTATTCGGGGTTAAATCAGAGGGCAACTCTTTCAGAGTAAAAGAAAGGGAATCGGGTTTCATCTGAGGACGAAGGGAGGCATGAGAAGGAAGCAGCACGAGGGGAAAAATGGGGAATTAACAAGACTTCATCTGGTGTCCTTGTCTGTCCTCTGCCTGTCCTGGAGTTAGCTTCAAATTCTTCAAAATCCATCACTCATTCTATTTATCAATAAGGTCGAAAGAAAAAATGGAGAAGGGCTTTCCACTTGCCTCTTCCCTTCCCTTTACCAACTGGAGTCCAGGTGAGTGCTCCTCTCCAGTGAGCACTGTTTTGATTTTGACTCTCCTAATCATCTCCTAAAGGATGACATGCCATCCCTGACTTAGGGCAGTAGCTTTCTGATTCCAAAAAGAAGCCAGAGAAATCAAGCATCCCATCCTCGACATCCTGTGATTGGTATGCCAGAGCTGGCTTGTATCAATTATTAAACCCTTTGGAGCATAAAGTCAGCCATGGTGGGAGTATTTGCCATCTCATGAGAATCAGCAAACTTTACAAAGGGAGGCTTCTCCCACCTCCGAGAGCTGGTTTACTAGTGAACTATTGGTCTTGCACCTCTTACCTTGCAAGTTTACTTTTCCCCTTCCTGGACTCTGTTCCTTTTCTGTCATAGTAAGACTTTTCTCTCCTCTTGCATAAGGTAAATTTCCCACCTGTACTCTAGATCTTTGCTATTCATAGTGTGGTTCTAAGCATCTGTATCACTTGTAATCTTGTTATAAATGCAAGATCTCAGGCCACACTCTATTGAATCAAAATCTGCACTTTAACAAGATCACTAGAATCATAGGTGCATTAATGTTTGAGAATCACTGCCCAGATTGATCCCTACTCTTCCTCGAGGACTTCTGCGTGATAATCGCTGGGCTTTCAAATAGGCTTTCCATGCACAATAAAGAATAATGTTCCAAATAATAATATATTTGGAGCTCTCTCTTCTTAGCTTCATCAAAACTTGTCCACTCATATACGTATACACTCAACAGAAATGCATGAACATGTTCAACAAAGGACATGCAATGATGTTCATGCAGCACTACTTGTAATAACCCCAACTGGAAACTCCTCAAATGCCAGTTGTAGATTGGATGTAAAGAAATGAACTTAGCTGGATTCCATAGAAACTCAGACTCATTGCCCAGAGCTTACCACGGCGAGGTCTGTGTTGTCGTCGGGAAGCAGAATGACCATGCTCAGCTCCTTTTCCATATAGGGCAGCTCCAGGACCTGGGTGTGCACCTCATCCACATACCCCATTTTAAATTTAGCTTCCTTAAACATCATCTGCACTGTCTTTTTTTCCTAATAGAAACATGCAATTAAAATTAGATTACTGAAAAATGGGCATAATTTACTAAAAATAGGATATGTCTAACTCACAGAAACTCTAGGTGTGTATAATTACTGTTTCTGCACATTTATGCTGATGGATGTAAAATCTTCATTAGTACATCTTAATATTGAATATAGAACAAGCTATGGTTCTAGCAGATCAAATATTACCAGGTGAGAAGGAAATAGTTTGGTAAATGGAGAAGTACATAAAAATCTACATTATTCTTAGTAGACATTGTGTTTGCTTTTTAGAGAACATTCATAGAGAAGCTTTCCCATGGAAGTTTCTAACTAAAAATCATTTATCTAAGTTACAAGGAGAATCAACTAGTGTTCAGGCCCTTGGGCTGAAGGATCTGGTTAGAAAAGGTGTATAGTCCAAATTCTGAAAAGTTGCCCAGTTGTAGAACTGGTTTTATGGCCTTGGTTTTCTTGGGAAGGGGCCCTTGACAAGATGTGTAAAATCTGCTGTTTTTAAAGCATGCATCAAATATATTCTTAACTTTCATATCTTTGTGCAAAATGCAATTATCAAGTTGATGGATGTCAAATCCCGAGCTAAGAACTATTGATACCAGCCATTTTCATATTTAAAAGGGAATGCAGAAAGATGTTTTTAAAGTTAGGCTTTATATCTGCTAACATCTTTTTCTTGTGTTCAAGATTGTATAACCTTGAATTTTAAGGCAATAAATAGGCATAGCTGCCACTGACATTGCAAAAAAGTGTCTAAGTAAATATAGTCAGTAAATAGCATCATGTAAACATAATTCCAAGGCTTAGAAATTTTCCTCCAATCCAAATCATATTACCAGAGATGGAAAGTAGATTTGATCAAAGATGGAAAAACAAAACTATCAATAAAAAATTATTTTTGTTTCTCTCCTCCTTCTGCCATTAAGCATATACGAGAGGCATTAAATTTGTTCAGAAAAAAAAGCCAGGCATAGTGGCTCACGCCTGTAATCCCAGGACTTTGGGAAGATGAAGTGGGTGTATCACGAGACTAGGAGTTCGAGACCAACCTGGGCAATATGACAAAACCCTGTCTCTACAAAAAATACAAAAACTAGCCAGGCCTGGTGGCGTGCACCTGTAGTCCCAGCTACTTGAGAGGCTGAGGTTGGGGGATCACTTGAGCCCAGGAGGTTGAGGCTGCAGTGAGCTGAGATTTCATCACTGCACTCCAGCCTGGGTGCCCAAACGAGACTCTGTCTCAAATAAAATAAAATAATAGAATAGAATAGATTAAAAATTAAGATCATTTCAAATAAATTATTCACTTTTTGAGAGAGTATTTCCTGCAATACTACTTTAGGAAAGTAGCAGTATAGCTAAACAATCTTTCCCTACCTCATTGGTTTTAAAGAGCATTCCCCTTGTGTACTTTCTGTCAAATTGTTCATTCCACTTTCCTTTGAAATAGATGGCATTCACAAGGACCAGCTTTGTCAGGGGACCAACTGTCCCAACATCCAGCACTTCTGAAATCTTACCTATAAAGAATATGAGAAGTTATTGCAATGGGGAGGGGAGAAATAAACATTATTTTACAAAAATCTCTTTGATACATAAGGCAGAGCCTTGGTTGAGAGTCAGGCTGGAGTTCTGTCTTTCTTGCCACCTGATGAATTGGGTGATGGTGTTTAGCAGTGTGGCATACACGGTGTATTGTTTATGCTTAAGAAAAAAATCTTGAAGTAGGTAGGGCAACTATCCTTTTGCTTTCAATTTATGGATGTAGAAATTCAGGATCAGAGCATTTGCCAGACTTTTTGTCTACTGCACACAGGTAACAAGTGGCTGAACTGAGAACATCACCCCAGAGTCTTGATTCTGACTATGGGACAGTCAACCTTGGCACTATCATGTCTAAGCCTCACCACTACTGTCATTTTAAAACAGATAATTCTTTGTTATGGGACCTGTCTTGTGCATTGTGGGATGTTCATCCAGCACCATTTCTTCCAATTTGACAACCAAGACTGTCTTCAGCCATTATCCAATGGCAACTGGAGGGCAAAACAACTTCTGGTTGAGGATCACTGCTCTATGCATATATTCAAGCTTCATCAGACAAGAAAAGGATTCCAAAGGATAAGATAACACAGACCTGCCAATGGGAGAAGGCAGCCTCTGAAAGGAGTGAATGGGGCAAAGGAATTAGGGGCATGGAATACAGGGGCCCAAGTTGAGTTGTCCAATGAAAGGGTTACAAGGTCATCTCCAAGGTCCCCTCCAGCTCTAATATTCTTGGGGAAATGGGGGCAGTCAGCCTAAGGGAAGGAAGGGCATAAGCAGCCCTGGAAGAGATGTGACAGGTACAGGGAAGGGAGGGGGAAGGTGTGGAGAAGCTTCTAGGTTCCTTGGGTGTCAGTACTGCTGACGCTGGAATTACACTTCTACAATTATAACTTTAGATTTTTTTTGAGATGGTGTCTAGTGGTCTTTTTGAGAGACCACTAGACAGATGACGTATGAAAACAACAAAGGTTCTTCCCTTCCCATGGTAATTATTTTATTGGCTTTCAGTAGAATCACGGGTATTACTTCTGCTACACACAGTGGTTGTACTATAGAGATGGAATGGATGCAGTACTAACTGCTAGGTTGGCACTTTAAATAAGTGACTTATTTCCTCCACTGTTTACAAGTATTGAAATTACTTGTTAGGTATTTAGGATGCTTTAAAGTATATGTCCCCCGCTCCCTTTTCTTACTGAAGTCAAGAACTGGCAGAAATATTTCTGGTGGGATGGAGCGTGGTCTGGGCAGGGAACACTGCAGGCTCCGTGTTAGCTGCACCTCTAGAATTGGCAGCAAATTCAGAAAAGGCCACACTCTGAGAGCAAATGTAGTTAAAAAGGAGGGAGAAGGCTGCAGATCAAACTACTGAGCTGTCCCCATTGCCACAGGGAGATAACATGACAGTATGAAATGCTGCCCTCTCTAGGCTTCAACTTAACTGAATGCCATTCGCCTCTAAGCATAGAAAGCCCCCTCAGACAGAAGATTCCAAGGAGGAATGATTTTCCAGGGATTTTCCAGCATGGTCCATAGGGGAGGAGGTCTGACATTCAACATTAGTTTTAGAAATCAGTAATTCGTGATCTGATAAGAAATGACAGAATTGCATTGTTGGCCTGCAAACTCAGCCAGCATACACAAACAGGCCTGTGATAAGCAGGTCACAGTGGCGACACCGTGGAGGTCCCGTCCCAGCCACTCTCAGCCTCGTTGCATAACAATTCCAAATCCACAGAAATGAAACTCTCTCACCTTCAGTCTTTTCCGCCACCCAGTCATTTATATGTTTCCTGCACTCTTCAGTGTCTTCAGCAAAGGACAGCTCCTCCAGCTCTGCCTGATAGAACTTCTGACAGGATTTCTTAAAGTCCTACAAACACAAAACACTGGGTTTGGTCTCATTTGGTAAAGCTTCCCACAAATGCAAAAGCATTTTGTTTTCTCTTACTGCATTTCTACCATAAATGTTTGGACAGGTCACACTGCACTTTAAGGTGCATGCATGCAGTTAACAAAAAAGTATGGGTCACCTGTTCCTCCCTGGTACTGGGCAAGGTGCTTGGCTTGAGGAGGTCCACAGCCTGATGAGAGGCAGATGAGACACCCAGACACTTACAGGACATCATGAGCCGCCACTATCCACAGAGCAGTCCAAGAGCATCCCTGTCAAACGTTCTGCACTGACTTCAATATTGTTTCCTTCATCAGGCAGTTTAACACGCTTTTACTCATTTTGCATCACCAGCACCAACTACAGTACTGTGATTTTGGCTGAATGAGAGGCTTTATAAGGGAACCAGATTGTTAAGAAATCATGCTGAACTTCAAAGAAGGAAACAGCATTTTAGATCTGGGTCATATGGTTGGTTGGAAGACTACAGAGCAAGGAAGGTCCCAAGGGAGTGGAACGTGATAGGCCTAGATCATAGCGTGCATGCAACTGGGTTCATACATGTGCGCGCATGGGTGCACATGTGTACATCTGAGTGCTTGTGCACATGCATGTATGTGAATTGCATAAATGTGTTCATGTGTGCACATGCGTTTGTGTGCTTATGTGTATCAGGGAGGGAATTCAGGAAAACAGTGGCAGGGGAAGAGCCTTGAAATGTAAGTTGGGGTCCAATCAGAAAAGGCCTGTACCCAATACATTCAAACTCAGATAATTCATCTCACATGGCAGCCTCACCCTGAATATTATGTGGCATAATTTTGGGACCTGGCTGATTATGTTATGACAGGCTAGACTAGGGAACCTTGGAACCATATGCCAAAGTAAATAGAAATTACTTAGATTTAAAACCTCAGTTTTATGAACAGATTTTTATTTTAGAAAGATGATGGTGTTAGTTGTAGATGCAACTCAGAAGAGGGGGGCAACTTTAAGAGAATCTGAGAGACTGTCTCAGCAGGAAGCAACCCAAAAGCCAGACATGGGGCTGCAGAGGCACTCTGTCCAGCGTGAGGAATGATGTCGTCACTCAGGGATAAGTAATTAAGGGGAAGAAGTAGGACTGGGTGCAGGAGAATGGACATATTGGCATTAATAACAGGGACAGGTATAACAAAAACAATTTACAAAGGACATAAGTCAGAAGCCATCATAAAATCTAAAATTATAGGCTGGGCACGGTGGCTCATGCCTGTAATTCCAACACTTTGGGGGGCCAAGTGGGCAGATCATGAGGTCAGGAGTTCGAGACCAGCCTGGCCAACACAGTGAAACCCTATCTCTACTAGAAATACGAAAATCAGCCGGGCATGGTGGCAGGCACCTGTAATTGCAGCTACTCCGGAGGCTGAGGCAGGATAATTGCTTGAATCTGGGAGGCAGAGGTTGCAGTAAGCTGAGATGGTGCCACTGCACTCCAGCCTGGGCAACAGAGCTAGACTCCATCTCAAAAAAAATCTAAAATTATAATTGTAGAAGTGTAATTCCAAGCACTTTTTTTTTTCTGGAAATGGAATCTTGCTCTTTTCACCCAAGCTGGAGTGCTTTTATTAGAGATGGGTTTTGCCATGTTGGCCAGGCTGGTCTCGAACTCCTGACCTCAGGTGATCCGCCTGCCTCTGCCTCCCAAAGTTTTGGGATTACAGGCGTGAGTGACCACACACAGCCATTCCAAGTATATTTTAAGTCAGCATGGTTGTACTTTATTCTCTGCTCTTCTGTGTCTAATTTATTTTCTGTTTCTTTTTCATCAATATATGAGTACTACTTACTGGAATGAAATCACACGTCTTTTCCCCAAAGAGTCTGTTGGCAGTTCTAAGCAAGTATTGAGTGCCGGTTCTGTTAACTTCATGGAGAAGTGACTGGAAACTTTGGTGAATATTTCCATCTTCGTATAAACAAAGTGCCTGGGAATAGAAACCAACACTGACTTGTAATACTGCTGTTATACTCTCCCAAAGAGCTATCTCCAAACAAATCTCTGTACTAAAAAAAATCACACAGGGTCCTATTTTAAAAAGGTTTGGCCCAATTATCTAGCATAGGGTTTCTCAACATGGGCAATGCAGCATTCACATTTGGGGTCAGAACACTCTGGTCTCATGTAAGCATTGCAGGATTTTTGCAGCATTTCTGGCTTCTATCCACTAGATGTCAGTGGCACCTCTCAGTTATGGGATCTAAAACTCCAGGTCTTGGCAAGGGTCCCCAAGAAGGAAAAATTCACCCACTGACCCCCACCTCCCACCCCCCAGGTGAGAACCACCAGTCTAGCTAATTATTTCACGCCAACAAGGCAGTGTGCGATACTTCAGGGGCAAGGCAGAAGAGAAAAAAGTAACCGGGATGAATTATGACTCAGGGAATACAACAGAGCAGAAATACAATCAAAAATGTTTCATCTGCAATTTTAGAGAGGTTCTCCAGCCCATATTATAAATTAAACGTCAAGTCAGAGTGAGATTAAGGTTGTTCCTGTATCTCGCAATCACCCCCAGTCCAAAGCCTCACTTTTCCAACCAGTTGAAAGAAACAACCACAAGAGGATGTCAACCGGGGTCCCTGCGTGCATTTTAGGAGATTATCCGTATACCCCTGATGCTGGTGGCAAAGTGATATCCATTTAGCAATTTTCTGGGACATTTTCACCAATGGTCAGAGAACTGCTCCTAAAGTATTATCCTCTTCCTTGTTTGCAGATAAGGTGATACATCACCATTTTAGACCAAACAGATTATACATCCTCTAAATCACTCCAGAAGGTATACGTCCACATTTGTGTTACATTCCTTTTCCAGCATGCATAATCATGCACTAAAAATAACCCGCTTAACAAAAAGTTAATCTACGCAGTTGCACGTCTATTTAAAATAGAATGCTAGCAAAAGTTTAAAATGTAACAGGTCTGGAATATTTTGCCTTTTTGTGGGACAGAATTATAGTTTATCTTACTTACCAAAAATGTGAATTTGCCAAACTGTATTGATGATTTGATCTAGATAAAATAACTATGACTTGATTTCTCCCATAAATATCAGAGGAGGTGACCTTCCCAACACATTTCACCTTTCTACCCATTTCTGCTGTTCTCCACTGCCAAGCTGCTTCTCCTTCCACCTCCAGTTTCACAGGCTTTCATCAGCTGGAGCAAAAGTACAGAGAGACAGCTCTATGGAAGAACAAGGGAAACACGCCATTCTCCTTCCTTTGCAACAAGCACACATACCTGGGACATCTGGACTGCGGTGCTTCCCTTTGCCCCCATGAAGACCATGGCCAAGGCAGAGGAGATGCTCATGGGAGAGAGGAATACGTTTCTTGAGCTGTCTTCTTCCCCCAATATTTTAAATAAGTTGATGGCAAAAGTGCCATTTGCTTCACAGAGGTCATCCATCAGGGAAGGTCTGCATCAAAGGCACAGTACAGAAGCACATCAGCCAAGCCCTCCTGTAGCCATGTGGTCATTCTTCCCATAGTCAGTGGATGCTGAGATGGCAGGTGGAATAACCCCCCTCCAGAGGCTTTCACTCCTAATTCCCAAAACCTGTGACTACATGATCTTCCCTGGCAATAAGGATTTTGCAAATGGTACTCAATTAAGTATTTTGAGACGTGAGATTATCCCGAGTTATCCCAGTGAACTTAATGGAATCCCAAGGGTCCTTTATAAGAGAGAGGCAGGAGGGTCAGAGTCAGAGATGGAGCCGTGAGGATGGAAGCAGAGGTCAGAGGGATGGGAGCCACCAATGAAGGAGTGCGACCTCCTTGAGAAGCCAGAAAAGGCAAAGAAACAGATTTTCTCCTGAGGACTCCAGAAAATAACATTGCTCTGCTGTACCATTTTGGACTTAGGACTTCCAGAACTGTAAGATAATAAATGTGGGTTGTGTTCAGCTACTGCATTTGTGGTAAAGTGTTACCACACCAATAGGAAACAAAGCACTGGTTTATTCACAAAATAACCAATCTCAGGGCCCATGACTGGTAGGTACCCCTTTTAGCAACAGGAGCACAGACACCCTGCCAGACCTGCTTACTTCTTCCCTTGGTGTAGCAGCATCTTGGTGTGGCCAGGAGCAGTGGCTCACACATGTAATCCTAGAACTTTGGAAGGCCAAGGTGGGCTGATCACTTGGGGTCTGCAGTTCGAGACCAGCCTGGCCGACATGGTGAAACCCCATCTCTACTAAATATACAAAATTTATCCAGGCATAGTGGCAGGCACCTGTAATCCCAGTTCCTTGGGAGTCTGAGGTAGGAGAATCACTTCAGCCCCAGGAGGTGGAAGCTGCAGAGAGCCAAGATGGCACCATTGCACTTCAGTCTGGGCAACAGAAGGGAAACTGTCTCAAAAAAAAAAAAAAAAAAAAAAAAAAAAAAAAAAAAAAAGATCTTGGTGTCTGGCACTGTTTTCAGCACTTTCCATTATCACCCAATAACACATTGAGGTCAGTAACACATAGTTACTCCCCCACTTTAGAGATGAGAAGACTGAGTGAGGTTTAGTAACTCATTCCAGAACCCTCAGGTAGCCATAAACACCTGGAACCCACAGACTGTTTCCAGAGCCTGAATTCTTAATCATTACACAAAATCCTCCTATTGCTCCTATTTATCTTTCAGTTTAATATCTCCAACATAATCGATAAAGAATGTTCTAAAACTTATAAATGCAATTCTTCATAAATAAAAACTGTATTTCTGTCATCATGTCCCATGAAAACAGCAATGATACATTTTACCAAATTTGGAGGGTTTGTTTGAGATAGGCAGACCTAAAATATGGGACTACTGGAAAGACCAAAAAAAAAAAAAAATTACTTTTCAAGGTGACTCCTAAAAGATACCCCATTTTCCCCAAGAGTTGCTGAAACTGGGTTATGGAGTTACAAAGAAAGCCCATAGGCATGGATATAAAATATGGCCCTAGTCTTGTCACCGGGTTTGCACTTTTTTTTTTTTTTTTTTTTTTTTTTTTTTTTTTTTTTTTTTTTTTTTTTT